ATAATATTAATTACCATATTCTATTAGAATTAATGAAATTTCGTGAAATTTTCTATTTAAAGTATTGAATTCTTAAAATATATATATATTAACGGTGTGGGGGTGTTACCCATACCAGCCTTGAGGTAGAATTTCCCGCTCCAAACCCGTCCCAAATACCCGACTAAACGAGTAATTCCCGTCCTGTTTGGGGTGGGCCCCACGGGTATCCGGTTTGAAAGGGGCGGGACCCTATGGATATCAAATTTGACAGATTTTTTTGTCATCCCTATGAAAGTTACGTTACACTCTAAAGAGACCAAATTGGATTGAGATGAAACCTCATCAAGTAATAGACTAAACGGTACTATTGTTTCTTGCAAAATGCTGTGTCAATTATAAGTCATGTCATTGAATTTCCTAAAGCATTTAAGAAAATAAATTAAAAAGAAGAAAAAAATCAAAAACTATAACACCTGAATTATGCTAATGGCTGACGAGAGTCCACGAAATTAAATTTTCAAAGAGTTGTCACATGAATTATCAAATGAAAATGACTTTCAATACAAGTGGGCCCCCAACTATTTACTAGTGACAAATTTCTATTTCATGGATAACTTTATCTTGATCTTGTTGGAAAATATATTCTAGTCTCTATATTTTTTTCATAATGTATTTCCCTACGTTCATTGATAGTTATCTCTTAGAAGCTCAAATATAATAGATCACCCGTAATCACGATAAGTTGTATGACTTTTGTCTACTCTCCTTGTTTTGAATGGAGAGCACCGTTATTTATATTCACATTTTTTATATATGCATTTCATTTTGTATACATTTTTATTAAAATATTAATAGGATTCTCTCAAAAGTATACTATTCACGCAACCAAACAAATTCCTCTTCGAATCATATATTAATTAATTAATTATTTATTATTATTATTTTTTTTAATTTTAATTATTATTATTATTTTTTTGCTATTTGTATTTTGGTTGATAATTTTAAGTTTGTTTCCTTTTATAATGTAAGAATATTTGGACAAGTATTGAAACTTATTTTCAAATTTCTTGTATATTTTCATTTGTCAAATCAATACTTAAAAAAAGCATAAAAAATAATATTCCATTTTTCATATCATAAAAAAATTATAACTCTAATAATCTGTTAATTTTTTCTTTTTCTTTTTCTTTTTCTTTTTAATTTTCATGATTACAATTTTATGATTTTAATTAAAGATGATGTTTCACGATTATTAGAATTTTAGTTAAACACAAACTCTAAAAAAATATAAAAAGGTTTAAAAGTATTTATGAAGATAAACATTAGTGGATGAATTCAGAACAATGTATTTTTATTTAATTTTATATATGTCTATTCAAATAAATTTACGTAAGACCAAAAATATAATATAATTATCTTTTTAAAAGTGGATGTATATATAAAAACTGTGGATATAAATACCAATACCTTGAATATATTATATTGATAAGAAGGCGTTACGATTACGTGCATATTATATTATGTCCATGCAAAATATGTCTCGACCACTTAAATTATCGTTCACTCACTTCATTTCTCGTAAACTTGTTTATTTTCAATTTTCATTCCACGAAATATAAAATATTTCTTTGGGCAAAGATGATAGACACTTGGTCATTTCCAAGTTCAATTATTGTAGTATGGAATCAAGAATATGTGGCCATGCATACACTAGGGAATCGTTTTTGATAGTTTTGGATAAATACAAACACAATTTCACAATTATATCATGGTACTTGCAACTTGAATTAATTAATGTAACATGAACAAAATCTAGAAACATTTAAAATAGTCTAAAATGTCTCTATAATAATATTAATTTACTTTAGCCTACAATCTTGTCGATCCTAAGTGGCTATGAGATAAAAAGAAGAGAAATTTAGAGGATGTACTTAACATACTTTTTTTTGTGCAAATGGATCCATGACCTTTAAATCTTAATAGATATATCATGAACTTTTTATATTTGTAGCTCTTGACAATAGTTGTTGTCCAAATTAGAAATTGAAGGGCCGCCTTTATACACTCTCCCAACTTTTACTGATGTTCTAGTTTCGTGTAAGTATTTCAAATAGAGAAGGGTTTCTTTTTGCGATGTTAAAGCAGTGGTGGAGGAAGACATTCTTCATTATTGGGTCAAGAATAAAATTAATTTTTTTCAAGCAATATAACATGAATGAAAACAATTCAATACATTATTATAAATATTGCATACGCATTTTCATGGTCATAGAGTTCCATAATTATCAATATGGTCAAATACAGTATTTTTAGTAAGCAAAAGTAGACTATCATCCAATCCTTGATTTCCAGTCCAGCAGCTTAGTTCAAACCATGGGTTGAGGAATTGAGACAATAACGTTGAGATTGAGTTGGAGAAAAGGTCATCATTGTCGGTGTCGATGTCAGTGCAGATGAGCTGAGTATAAAAAATAATTATTTGATATAAATTGCAAACCTAGGTATTGGGAGAAGAATGAGATTCGATACCGGAGAGAAGTTAAGCAGAAAAAAAAAATAGTGCAAATAGGTGCAAAAAACAAAAGCAAATGAGTAGAAAATTTGGTGGGTCAACTAACCCCACATGAGGGCATGTGAATCTGCCTCTGCGTGAGTGTATATTTAACCCTTCAATTTCAAAAGAAGGGCATTAGTCATCTAGAAATTTGTCGTATGAGCAAATATGCATTCAAGGTTGTGGAATTCCTTCACAATAATCAAAGGAGACACGATTTGCTCTTGCAAAAAGTATGCACATTTCACTTAAAAATGCTTATGCAAGCTTCACTCAAAAATGCTTATTTTATGTAGATTTGATCTTGGTCCTGTTCGGTAAGAATTTTGAGAATTTTTTTTTTTTTTTTTTTTATCGTTAGAAGAAAAGTGAGGACCAATTGTAAGAGAAGAAATCAAAAATTTCGATTAGAATAATGAAATAACGGTCAAAAAATCATTTTTTTGGGTGAAAAATCACTCCCAAACACCCTCCTAATCTTTTTGGAAGGACCTCTACTACTACAAGTGTAAAAGGTTGAAGACAATGTTACCAATATTTGAAGATGATATGACTCGTTCGCACAAAAATGTAAAGAATAAGTGCCCTCCTGCAATTTTTCCCAAAACATAACTAGGTTCCAATATATCATTTAGAATTAACTTTTTCATAAATAAGATAAATTTAATATGTAAATCTTATATAAATGATATGTATTTACGTGGAAAGCATGTTAGGCAGCTAGGATTCCACGTCATACGGTTTGTCTTATTTCATAATTGTGATTAGTTAGGATATGACCAATGAAGCACAATTCATGCTTATAGGGCCTGCTTGGGAGCTTTGGGTGGTACCAGATAGAGATGGAAACTGATCCGACGGCCCTCCTGCCGAGGGATCTTGGTGGACGGGACAAGAATTAAAATATTAAAATTATAGTCTCCGTCGCTGCTTGGAACAATGCAAGATCGAATATTTTGTCGTCTCTAATAATTCAAAATCCTTTAAAAGAAATATTGAAATGCAACTTTTAATATTTAAGCTAATAAATCAAATAAAAACTGGGATGTTATATTTCGGATTTCCTAAAATGAATTGCACAATAAATTAAAAATAGAAAATTATTAAAATTTAAAATCATGAATTGAAAAGATAAAATGATATTTTCTATGTAATTATGTCACTTAATTAAAGTTGAAGTAATGCTAGCTGGCATTTAGATTTTTTTTGTCTTTTTTGATTTGTGTCGAGGATTGATACCACGTATACGAGGAAAGATGATGCAAGTTATAATTTTACCTATAGTAGTTGTAGGTTGGTAATTTTCATTAATGCTAATTAAATTACACGAAAATGACCTTAAGGCACGACTAGCGTGTGACTAAGTCAATTCTTGCTCACAAAAGTGACACAATTTTCTATTAATTATGCTCATATGGGGTGGACTCCGAGTAATTGAGTCCAAATATCTTGATAGTTAGACGGGAGCTTTAGTATTAGAGGTGCTAGATAACGTATCTTGGAATATATTGTATATATAAGCTATAATGTAGATTTTCTTATTTTATATTCATGCTTTCTCTTTTAATGATAAAACTATTAATTATACATTTATTTTATGTAAATTTATATAAATTATGATTCAGTTTAGAAATTAGTAAAAAAAAATTGAAATGAACCAAATCTTGGTTCTATAGCTAGAGCCGATTCTTGATTCAAAACCCATAATCAATTTGATTTTGGTTCGCTATGGTCTAAGTGAGTACAAGTATATAATCCCATTTTCATTTCCACTTTGCGTGATAGAGACAAGAGTTCGATACTGTGAGCATGTTTGAGTCTCATCATACTTTAATAATTTATTTAAAAATAGTAAATTGATGAAGAATGTGTGGTTAAAAAAAAAATTGGGTTTGCATTCAATATTACTTTATTAAAAAATATATGATTAAAAATAAAAAATAGGAAAATGTATTTTGAAATCAGTGATGATCAAACAAGGACAGTATGTTTTTGCTACTTACAATGTACCTTCTCTTTATAGAATTTGGACCTATGGGCGTCGATAGCAACAATTGAAGTCTTTTCTTTAATAAGTTTTAAATTGATTATAAGAAATATTTTGCAATTTATGTATCGGGAAAGGATAGAAGTTCTGTTGTCACATCAGTAATGAAAAGTTTTTATCTTGTTCACTTAGCGTCGGAAATCATGACTGTTATGTACCAACCATGGTCCAAATTATATACAAAGGTACATTGTAAGTAGCAAAATCATACATATCTAAAAGTCCTGGCCTTATCAAGCAAAGTATCAAAATAGTATCAAGGAAGCAATTGCACCTATCAATCTACACCCATTTACTTATCTAATTAGACCCGATAAGCCCATTTATGAAAAAGTACAAAAATAATCCAAATAGGCATTTTAGAGCCTCCCATGACGTGTACTTCCCCCATTTCCTATATATACACACACACCCACACCACTATATATGCATTACTGAATCTATAGATACATAGAGATACAGGCGCGTTTTGATCGAAGGGAAGACCTAGATTTCAGTCACAGGTTTGCACTAATTTTGGATTGTGATAAATTTTCAGATTGAGGTTTGGCGGTGGTGGTTGTGGTGGTGCCGTGGCGGTGGTGGTGGAAGTGTGAAGAGTACAGTGGTTGCTGTATGTCAGTAGATTGCGACTCGCATTGCGGTGGATTGGGTGAGCTTGCTAATCAGTTACAATGGCCACAACTGCGAAAAAGGCGACGCCTACTAATGTTTGTTGCGCTGCCGATGGTGGAAAATCGGCGGCTGCCGTTGCCGGTGTCCGCCGTGAGGCGGCTTCTGCCTTTGCCTCTGCTGTTGATTGGAGTGTTCCGTCTGCGACTGCCGAAGATCTGCAGGACAAGAAAGCTGCTGCCATGACGTCTGTGATCCGACCCGAGCCTTCATCTAACGCCGCTACTAAAGGTAATCTTTTCTCATTATCATCATTCTAAAGATATATATACATAATAAATGTCTATATTGTTTGAGTTGACGAATAGTTGTATGCATGCCCTATACATTTATTTGATTTCACATCTTGAATTCTTGATGGTGGTCCAGTTCGATGCTTCACCTCTTTGCCCCTTCTTCATGTCTCATATGATTCATTAACGTTTTATTCGTATATAGTACTTGTTTTTGTTAATGGCAGATTGATTGCACGTGTCTGTGAACAGAGATGAAAAGAATTAAATAGATAATTTATGTTTTATTAGCTAATCTATCTGTCAGTTTCTTTCTCCAGAGGCTGCCAGCCTATTACACGATTGTATCAAATTCAGGGAAAAAAAGAGGGTATACGAGAGGACAAGAAAGTTGACGTTATGGTCATTCAGAATTTTTATCCTTAAAAATGTGAATTTTCAATGAATGATAAAATAAGTGGGAATAGTGAGCGTTTCCTTGGATTGAGAGATTGAAATCGGAGTACGTCAGCAGTCTTATAATGTTTCAAGCATTAGTGTTTTACAGCTAAAGTTGACATACAAAGTGAAAGTGACTTTTATGGCATTGCCTGGAGTCCACTCTGAAGGATGAATACTATATTGGTTAGTTATTTTAATGCTCCAACTCCATCAGAATGTAGACAATTGCTTACATTTCTACTTAAAAGAAGTTTTGATAATTGAATAAGAAAATATAGGCATGTTTTTATGGTGTATAACATACCATTCTTAAAATGCATATTTTTATAAACAAAGGAGTTGAAAAGGTTTGTCCTCTTATCATCGAATCACATCATCCTTCTAGTGTTTGATCTTTGAGATTACATGAACCTGTGACTTTTATACTTGATAACAAATTTAACATAGTTTACTATTAAATAGTTGGAAAATATTTCTTTAGCTTTATCTGTTGTTGGCTCGTTAGTGATCGAGTTCTTTTTTCTTTCTGCTTTTTCTTTGGGGATGGGGTGGTGGTGCATGATGTCTTTTTGTTTCTTTGGGAGTTACATTGTTAAATAAGTGGAAGGCACAGTTGTTTCTGTAATTGCCAATTGGCTTTGTTGTGTGGATGCGGTCATATGAGCAAGATTGGGTGAGCAGGCTTATTTGGGCTTATAAACATACTTTTTCTCTCTTCTTATAAGCAAGCTTATAAGCCCATCTAAACATACTCTGGCATATAATTAACTAGCCTTTTCACTATCAAAAACACGGTTAAATGTATTGACATGAATAACTTATTTGCTAACAAGAATCACAGGATGGTGATGTTTCTGTTGAGACTCTTGGTGATGGATTGGGTTTTAGTGTATCTTTCTGGAATTGTTTTATTTGCAATAACATGTGGCAACTTGGGTTTTTTGTGCATCACATGTTTAAGTCAAATTCCATTTGCTACCAACTTCATACAATAGCATTATCTTAAATGTTTGCATCTGTGTACAATGCCTGGCTATTTACAGACATGAAGCATGACATTTTTTTTGCGTGTTTAATTTTTGACTGAACATTAGATCAGGAGAATTTCAATCTTGTTTAAGTCCTTCCTCTAAATTGAGTTTGCAGTCAGTTGATTAATTGATGACTTGATTTTTCAGGGATCCAGGTTATGCCTAGGGCTCAAACGGTTCATCCTTTGGATCCTTTATCTGCTGCTGAAATCTCTGTAGCCGTGGCAACTGTCAGGGCAGCTGGTGCCACCCCTGAGGTTCTCTTCATTTTTTTATCGCATAATGATGTACCCGTTGTGATATTTATTTAGTCATCAGACATATGTTGTTGTCTTTTGCCTCAATTACTGAAAATTTGAATCTTTTCTCTTATTTTCAGGTGAGAGACGGCATGCGTTTTATCGAAGTGGTTCTACTGGAACCAGATAAACATGTGGTTGCACTGGCAGATGCCTATTTCTTTTCACCTTTCCAACCATCGTTGTTACCTAGAACCAAAGGAGGACTGACAATTCCCAGCAAGCTTCCTCCAAGGCGGGCTAGACTAGTTGTCTACAATAAAAAATCGAATGAGACAAGTATATGGATTGTTGAACTAACTCAAGTACATGCAACAACTCGAGGTGGGCATCACAGGGGAAAAGTTATCTCATCCACAGTTGTTCTGGATGTTCAGCCACCTATGGTATACACCGTTATTTTGCTTGGTTTTTTCTGTTCCTCTAGCACATCTTTTCTTAGGAATTCACACTCTTTAACTTTTACTAAATGTTATCAGTTTGTGTCCTAGAAAATTAAATATATGGTTAATATTAGTCTCTTTGGTTATGCTGGTTACATAAAGTTGACACTCTCTTAGAGAATTTTAATATGATATTGGCATTTCAATTCTGTAGGCACTGTGCATCTTGTTGAATAATGGCTATTTTTGGGTGAAAATGCGCCTCATAAAAACTAGTATGTATTACATACTTGTTTAAGTTTCATATATCGGGCTTTATCACAATAGTTGCTCCATATGATATTGCACATTTTTGGGGCACTAGCTTAAAGATAACGAAAGCAAATTATAGATCTATAATCCCTTCTATTAGAATTGGGAATATATGAGGGAGGTTTTCATCAACCCCCTCTATATAGTTACTCATGAATCAGGAGAAGGTAACATGGGAACAAATGATATTGTATAATTTCTTTTTAGTGGATGTACTCTAATTGATATGATAAATGGGGTTCTCGTATTCAATTGGGACGGAAAGGCTTAAATAATGACACTCATTATGGGATGTACCAATGGATGGAGTATTGTTTTTAGCTAGTGACTTGTGCAACATGTGATCGTTTATTAGTTTTCGATCATTGGGATAATGGGATCTTGTACCATTTTTTTATGGTGTCATGAGATATATGTATGCACATTGTGATCAAATTTGGTACTAAAACCTGGATTAATAAAAAAGTAAATAAAATTGTATTAGTAGACATTCTGATAATTTGAACTGGCTTATCCTGCTCCTGCCAAGAAATTAAAATGTGCACGTGCTTGCCAAACTAAAATCATATCTTATATTCTTCTTTATGTAATTTTCCTCCCATTTGAATCAATAAATTAGATGCATTTAAAGAACTTGTTTTATAATTGGTTTGTCTTTGTAAAGGTTTAACAGTTCAATTGCCATGGAAAAATGCACATCTTCTAGTAAATACACACACTCACAGATGGAAACCTTAAGGAACTCCAGTAACGTCGTCGAGATTCATAGGTTTATCTTTTGGTTCGTCGGTTTATATGAAATGTTTTTCCCTAGATTTAAATGTGGACTGAGATGTGAATTCAAACTCATTTAGTTAGACTATTTTTGTATTATATATTTGGTTCTATTCTGTGATGCAAAATGGTTCTTAACTTTCTTTCCCCTTGGAGTAGGACGCTGTGGAATATGCTGAATGTGAAGCTGTTGTCAAAGATTACCCTCCATTTATAGAGGCAATGAAGAAAAGGGGTATTGATGATATGGATCTAGTCATGGTTGATCCTTGGTTAGTTGATACCTAAAATGTTTGTTGGAATTACCCGACTAAAAATTTTGATTTTGCAAATCTCACAGTTGGATTGAATACCCTGCTACAGGTGTGTTGGTTATCACCGTGAGTCTGATTCTCCTAGTCGTAGACTTGCGAAACCACTTATATTTTGCAGAACCGAGAGTGACTGTCCTTTGGAAAATGGCTATGCACGGCCAGTGGAAGGAATTCATGTTCTTGTCGATATGCAAAATATGGTAGTTATCGAGTTTGAAGATCGTAAATTTGTCCCCTTACCTCCAGCTGATCCATTGAGGAATTACACTCCTGGTGAAACAAGAGGAGGGGTTGATAGAAGTGATGTGAAACCCCTGCAAATTGTTCAGCCAGAGGGACCTAGCTTTCGAGTTAATGGACGTTATGTAGAGTGGCAGAAGGTTTTTTTATTCTTTTCTCATTTCTAATTGCTTGGTATGTTTTATGGTTATTGTAATATGAATGTTGAATTGTTGGTTGACAGTGGAACTTTCGGGTTGGTTTCACTCCGAGAGAGGGTTTAGTTATCCACTCGGTTGCCTATGTTGATGGTAGTCGGGGTCGAAGACCTATAGCTCACAGGTTGAGCTTTGTGGAGATGGTTGTTCCCTATGGGGATCCCAATGATCCACATTACAGGAAGAATGCATTTGATGCTGGGGAAGATGGCCTTGGGAAGAATGCTCACTCTCTTAAGAAGGTTTGTTGTCTTTTCCAAATAGCATTCTGTCTTTACAGTTTAAAGATTGTGCACATTAATGAGTCAATTTGGAATCTTAGTCTAAGGCATGATACCATTTCAGGGATGTGATTGTTTGGGATATATAAAGTATTTTGATGCTCATTTCACAAATTTTACTGGAGGAGTTGAAACAACGGAAAACTGTGTATGTTTGCACGAAGAGGATTATGGAATCCTGTGGAAGCATCAAGATTGGAGAACAGGATTGGCAGAAGTTCGAAGATCAAGACGTCTTACCGTTTCTTTTATTTGCACTGTTGCCAATTATGAATATGGATTCTATTGGCACTTTTATCAGGCAAGTAGGATACATTTGACTGAAGATGATTAGTGAAATATGTCAGTTTTGAGTTTTTATGTTGTTTTACATGTCTGGCTCTAACCAAAAAGGTTTTGACCGAAACATACATTTTTGTTACTGTGCACCTTTTTGCTGACTGGAGAGCATAATGGGAAAGGGGAAAGATAAAAGAGAGAGACTCTTATTCTTCTACCGTAGGGCTTCATGAATTCTTATACATCCTTGCTCGCTCACAGCTAGTATTGCACTAGATATCATTGGATGCAGGACCATTGGCAAACTTTTAGATAGATCTCAGTTCTAATTTTTCTTTCTAATGGCAAATGAACTACTATTCTATAGTTCTGCAACTCAAGGTTATCTTTAATATTACTGGATGCAGGATGGGAAAATTGAAGCAGAAGTTAAACTTACTGGAATTCTCAGTTTAGGAGCACTGCAACCAGGAGAAACTCGAAAATATGGCACAACAATTGCCCCAGGATTATATGCCCCAGTTCATCAGCACTTTTTTGTTGCTCGTATGGATATGGCAGTTGACTGCAAGCCTGGAGAAGCACACAATCAGGTACGTGGTATTGAGTTAGTAAGTTCCTCTCATTACTTTCCAATTCCCCCAAAGCATAATAATTTGTGGTGGCATTCTCATCACTTTGGGTGTTAATACACGAGAAGTTGAAACTAGTTTATTCTATATTCAAAATCTTGCTTACGATCTTCTCTGGCTCTTTCATGGTAAATAATATGAATTTAGATGCAACAGTCCTAGATAAGGTAATTTATTTTATCCATTGCTTGATTATTTCTATTATCTTTAGGTTGTTGAAGTGAATGTCAAAGTTGAAGAACCTGGAAAGGATAATGTTCACAACAATGCTTTTTATGCTGAGGAAACTTTGCTTAGAAGTGAATTAGAAGCCATGCGTGATTGTGATCCTTTCTCAGCTCGCCATTGGATTGTAAGCATTCTGACCTGATAGCATGACCATTTAATTAATTGTTTACTCAGATTTGCCTTTTGTTAGAATGAATTCAATTTGAAGTGTTAATAGGAAATCACCTTTTGTTTGTTGTGTGGACGATTGAACATGTCTACATCTTTTCTCCAAATATAAACAACATTTTTTGGCTGCAAATATAATGATATATTTCTTTCTTGTTCGTCTATTTGAAGAGAAAGAAATCATCTCTTTTCCCCCTTTTTTTTTTTTTTTTTTTTCTTCTTTACCTCCCAACCTGTATGTCATCTCATTTCTTTTTGTTTTCAATATCTTGGGTTCCAATTTGTTTTTAATAAATTGGATACTCCAATTATGCAAAAGCCCAAAAAGCCATTTTCTTCTTCTTTTCATTGGCAGGTGGCTGTCGTTTGGGTTAGGGGGGCCGGG